TTGCGGAGGGGCGCAGGTTCATAGTGAGGGAGTTCTGTCAGCTTTCTTGTTGGATCTGCCGGGGTCGTGGTTCTACTCCATTTTCCTTGGATAGAAGGGGGGGATTTGGCACCCTTCTCGACGATGGTCCCACCGTAGCAGTGGTCTGCGCCAGCCGCAAGCCCTAGGTGCGCAACACTTCAGTGCACAGAGTCAAAAGCCTGTGAGCAGGAAATGCCCCCAAACTAACAAGCCCAAACCCAAGCAACCCTCAACAAAACAGCCCCTTAAAAGCCACCCCACACAGCACAGGCGCAGTGCATCGACCGCCTCATGGAGGCCTATGCCGAGGCCTCCCTGGGTAAAACGGGCTTATGGCTTCGGGGCTCTGCGTGTTGCATTGAAGGGTTTGACTTCGTTTGACTTCCGAACTCAGACCAAGGGTCGTCTAGAGACGGTAGCTGGTGGTCGCCGTGGGTGTGGGAGCTTCCCTGCTGCCAGGCTTACTTCCGCGCGCAGCTCCCGGTGGCCGAAAGTGCCGGCGAGGCAAGCAGGGGGAGGGAGGAGTCAAAGGCGAGTCTCATGAAATCCTGTAAGAAAAATGTGGAATGAACCTACAAAATAGTCCAGTTGACCGGAGGATGTTCGGAAGCAAGACCCTTGCTTGCTGCTACTGCTCTTAGCACGTGCAGCCCCTGGAAGAATGGCAGGAAGTGGCGTCGTTTGATATGCCCCGATGTGTATCACTACAAACAACTATCTGGAAACCCTAAAAACATCTTCAGCATGTCCTCGATCTCAGCCCTAAACTTGCTCCCTCCCCGCCCCCGCCCGCCCCTAAAGCTGCTGTCAGTGCCATCACTGTCCGTTGTCATCAGGACCAGCTCAAAGTGACGCGCGCCTTGACTCTCCACTGTTCAATACAGACATGCTTGGCATGTTCGGGATGTTCTGGGACCCGAAAAGATGACTCAGACATGTATCCATATGAAGCTACCAGCATTTTCTTCTCAGTTGCAAGAGGATGCTTCTAGCCTGCTGAGGCCTAATGTTGCACCCTGTTTAGTGTGGGGGCCCCCCCCCCCCACCCTGAGCAGTCGCGGGGGTGGATGGGATCCTGATTACACGGCCCGGGCGCTCATATGATTTTAATAGGGAGGAGTTTAGATAGGTTCAAAAGGGGCAGCGATGCCCGGTTATCTTTTTTAAAGGCGCGCCACGTGGAGTTTTCTTACGGTGCGCGGACGATTTGTCTTTAAAGAGGGACTCCCAAACAGTCAGCATGTCCTGAATAATTCGGCCAGTTTGTCTTTAAAGCGGGGGCCGATACTAAACCGGGTGCAACATTAAGACTGAGAAACGCAAACCCTACACTGCAATCACCGGCCTGCCCCCAAGGTGTAGTTCAAGGCCGGACCCCGATTGACCGCCACGCATTTTTGTCGACCGTGAGAAGCCCGGCCCAAGCCCCAAGCCTCATAAGAACAAAAGAGCCCGAATCTGGTACCAAAGGTGGACAGCCACAAAACAAACCATCACAAAACTCTAGGCCAGCTACAAGTACAGAGGGCCAGCTACAATTACAGAAGGCCAAAGCCAGAAGTACTTAAATCGCTGGTACAACGAGCCTACTGTAGAGTGCTATCTGCATAGCTCTACGAGCAAGCGCCCGTAAACAAACCCCATCAGCCTCCAAGTAAGGCTGGATCCCACGCGAACGCTCGGCAGAGGAGGTGCCGCCAAAGTGCGCAGTTCCAAGGTCATGAGCCCCGGCAAGAAAGCCAAGAGCCCCTGGACTCCCCCACATTGACCTAGGATGTGTGGCATGAGCGCCGGTGGAAGTTGCCACCGACGGAGATTCCTTGTTCCCAAATTACGTTGATGGCGTGGCGGTGCCTTTGCGGTACAGCCCATGGAGCTTCACACAGACTGCCCAAGCTTGCAACCCCCTCCCTCCCGCCCAGCATGCGCGCTTCGCTCTCGCTTTCTTTTCGGAGAGAGAGAGAGAGAGAGAGAGAGAGAGAGAGAGAGAGAGAGGAAGGAAGAGATGCTTTTCTCTACGCTTTCTTCTCTCTGCGCTTCTCTTTCCACCGGGGAGGCCCCAGAGGCACCACGGGCGGCAGGAGGACCCGAGGATGCCGCTGGCGAGGACCCTAGCAACGAAAGCAGCCTAAAAAAGATCCTGAACCCCAAGCCCCCAAAACCCGGACTCTTCAGGAGCCAAGTCGAGTACCGATGGCGCTGTCCCCAGAGCTCAGAGTGTCTGGTCTCAGGAGAAGAGTTGCCAGAAGGCTCGGGGTAGAGCCACACTCCGATACGAACAGGCGCTTCAATTGAAAGCAATCGTCAGGCAATGCCTGCGAACACCCCAAATTCCGGCCATGCGCTGCCCAGCCGCCGTCCCGCCCTCCCCCACGCTCTGTTCTTCTTTCTTCTTCCAACTCTGAAGCATCACCTGACCCCTACCTTGGTGTTTGCTACAGCCTTATCTTTTGAGAGGACCCCCTCTTCTATTTGTGGATTGCAAATGCCTGCCCCATTGGGCCCCACGAAGCTCCAGAGTAAGCTCGAAACCTCTGAACATAGACAGCCGATATATACCGCCAATCAATACACAAGACATGCACTGACATTGCCTTGTGAGACGAGCTCGGACACCATCTTCGTCCTCGCCTTCTCCATCATCATGCTCAATACGGACCTGTCTGGAACTTGGGCTTTGGTGTGTCGAGGATGTCACGGTTTATGGTCAGGGGCTTTAGGGTCATCGAACTTGGATGGCGTGAGCGGTTCGGAGTTTAGCGGTTCAGAACTTTTGAGCGAAGGCACAACCCGGGTGTGAAGAAGAAGATGAGCTTCGAGGAATTCGTTCGCGCGACGCTCAGCGTGGGCTTGTGTGGTTCGACGGGGGTTTGAGAGTGCTGTAACACTGTAGCTCCACAGTTTTGGATCTGCAGGGCTTCCGAGCCAGGGCTCGTTTGAGATCGTGGATCAGCCAAACTCGTGCTCCTCCGGCCCGGCGGCCTCCAAGGCTCAAGATAAATCCCCTGACCAGCCGATGATTCAGTGATAATGAGCAATTCCACTACCTTCAACTCTAAGAGGCTGCCAACACAGACCCCTTTGGCAGACCCCCTGTCGGAGCCCCCCTCCCTGCAGACCCGCACCTTCTTCGAAGCCGCCCTTTTCGAACCGAGCCCGGAAACTTAGAACCCTAAGCACTCCTCTGCAAGCTCTGCCCTCCTCTTCTGCCCCCGTGCAGCCCCCTAAGGAAACAACCGTGGCATAGACTCGGGCAAGGACGGCTGCGAACTTGACAGTATCAAGGTCTTGTAAGGTCGAAGCTTAGAATTTTTATTGTAAACGCTTGCGCGGGCCGCCTAGCCGGGCCGGGGCCGGCCCAGAGCATGCAGTATGTGGAGATGACGCCTGGAGGCGCCCTCTAGGGGGGATTTTGCACTGTACAGGCGGCATCGGTTTGCAGCTGCTCCAAGCGATCGGGGGGCGGGGGAGGGTTGGGTTAGGGGGAAGGAGACCGGTTCCAGACGCTTTTCGGCAGGAAGCCGAGGCGAATTGATGAGGTTATGTGTTGGACGCCAAATTCTCGTGTGTTTCCGGCATGCAATTCGGAATACGCGGCAGGTTTGCTCTGACGGCTTTTGTCTTTTGAATTCTTTGAGTCATGTTGCGACTCGACCCAAAAGTGATGGCCGGGGTTTGAAAGGGTTGGCACTTCATCCCTGTGTACTTCAACCGACAGATATGCGTTGTACTGAGTACTGAAGGCGGGCTCTGCAGACTAGCGCGGTGAATCTCAGTCGTCGCCGACCGAGTAAGCAAAAGAGTAGAAAAGGATCTACAGAACGCGTGAAGTTGTTAGAGGGGATGGGAAGCAATGTCGTTTACGAGTGATGAAATGGGATGTTGTCTGCAAGAAGGCGCTTCAGAGGGTGCGGAATAAAGGTTTTCAGGGATGGTCTGGACACTTGTTTGGAGAGCGGCCCAAAACACACCCTGCCCTTGCCAGTTCGCTAAGGCAACGATACAGCCAAATTGACATTCACGCCAATTAAATATTCCAGGCTTTGTTCTTGGTTTGAAAAAGTCCGAAGTTGCCAAAAGGCACGCTGGGGATAAACATGCACATCGCTTAAGCGTGCCGGGTCGTGGCACATCATGATATGTTCAGGTCGTTTGGGTTCCAGACGGTTGACTGGGCTTGTTTTTTTCGTATGCAGATGTTACGCAGAAACCTGGCAGGATATGCCAGCGTACTTCCTGCGCGACATTTACGAGGTGGCGGTTCCACACGCCCGAAGCCTAAGGTTCAGGCTCTTAAGCCTGAAAGCTCTCAACATTTCTAAGCCATGAAACTCCGCCAGAAAAAACCAAAAGCAAAGCGCGCTCTTGCGATTCGCGATCGACTTGTGTACAAAGTTCCTCCTAGCATTCTCGGGATTTCAGAGGTTCTCGGAGCCTTAGCTCCCTTTGCCCCCCTTGCCCCACAACCCCCATCAGTTTGGCGTCGGTGTTTAGCAGGTTGGGTGCCAGCTGCTGTGGCAGTATTCTGGGCAGGTCTGTGATGGTATTCTGAAGATCTCCAGGAACGGTTTCCTGTTTCAGCGATCTGCCCGTCCGCTGCCCGTAGGCCTGCGGTCTCCCACAACTTTCGATCGGTGCGTCAAGTCCCAAAAGCCCATCGCAGGCCATCCGTGATGATGAGATCCGCCTGCATGGGGACGCGCCACCAGAGGTTGGCTGGATCAGTTGCGTCCCGATGTGTAAGCTGGCTCCGGGTGTTGTTCTACTTTGTTGCCCCTCCTGGGATAGTTGAGCGAGTAACGACCCAATGTTGGTAGTTCGTACAATCACAGAGCCGCAAGATTAGCTGCATTCATGCAACACCGGGGCCGAAGACCTCAAAGCGATCCCTCATTCCATGCACGACGACCGATGCTGTTCCATGTCAGGCTTTCAGCAAAATTGGGTGCTACTCACATAAGTAGACCTGGAGCAGTGCAATGATGCAGATTCTTGGGCGAATGGTCTTGGTGGCAAGCTGCACGATGGCCGCAGCAGGTACAACCGCCTGTGAGAAGGCACTGTTGGAGCTGATGAGCGAAGACGCTTGCGGCAACGCAAATGGTCCCGACCCTTCGAAGGCATGCACCAGCACCTGCAAGCCTTTGGCGTGTGGTGTGGTCAGCGCCTGCCACGCTGGCTCCACAGTTCGAGTCGAGGATGAGACCGGCAGCTGGACCATTCCAGCTGAGGACGTGCAGAACATGGTGCAGGAGCTGTCCGCAGAACATACGTCTTGCCCATGCACGCCGACAAGGTCTGTGAGCCTGCCCAACGCGACTGGGCACGTGCAAGAAGCCGCCAAGCTTGCTGTCGGCCTCAGCAAGGGCAGGCGAACCGCCTGTGAGAAGGCACTGTTGGAGCTGATGAGCGAAGACGCTTGCGGCAACGCAAATGGTCCCGACCCTTCGAAGGCATGCACCAGCACCTGCAAGCCTTTGGCGTGTGGTGTGGTCAGCGCCTGCCACGCTGGCTCCACAGTTCGAGTCGAGGATGAGACCGGCAGCTGGACCATTCCAGCTGAGGACGTGCAGAACATGGTGCAGGAGCTGTCCGCAGAACATACGTCTTGCCCATGCACGCCGACAAGGTCTGTGAGCCTGCCCAACGCGACTGGGCACGTGCAAGAAGCCGCCAAGCTTGCTGTCGGCCTCAGCAAGGGCAGGCGAACCGCCTGTGAGAAGGCACTGTTGGAGCTGATGAGCGAAGACGCTTGCGGCAACGCAAATGGTCCCGACCCTTCGAAGGCATGCACCAGCACCTGCAAGCCTTTGGCGTGTGGTGTGGTCAGCGCCTGCCACGCTGGCTCCACAGTTCGAGTCGAGGATGAGACCGGCAGCTGGACCATTCCAGCTGAGGACGTGCAGAACATGGTGCAGGAGCTGTCCGCAGAACATACGTCTTGCCCTTGTCCAGCCCTGCGTGCCCCGGCCTTGCGAGGTGCAAAACCTGCTCACCCCTGAGACTCCTGGAGTGGAGGAGCCAAGGGGGCTGCGAGCTAGGCAGGTATGGGCCTTGTCTCTTGAGCTCGAGACAACTTTTCTTTCTCACCGCAGGCCCAGCCAGTACAGAGGTTGCCATGCATCCGTGCCAGGCCTGCGGCCACTTTTGTCTGCCATGGAGAGACACCATGTTAAACTGTTGCTGGCAAAGGCATGCAACAAGATAAGTTCATGCAGGTGTGCCTTGGCCCCTGCGTGTGGACTCCCTACCCAGCCTCACGCTTTGATGTCGCTGTAGAGACTCTGTAAAGTTCCAAGTGGCCTCTGGCCGCAACAGACCGAGCGCAGCTGGGGGAAACAGCTACAGAGGGGTCTCAGCAAGGATCGCAAGGCCGCTAGGCCCGATTCACTTTGGCCTCGGCTTCAGGCTCCGGAGTCTGGCTCTCTCCTCTCTCGCGTTCTCTCTCTCTCTCTCTCTCTCTCCCCCTTTCTCTCTCTCTCTCTCTCTGTTTGTGTCAGTGTCTGTGTCTGCGTGGTTCTTGCATTCCATTACATTCAAATAATGTCAGGGATGTATGACTCGGGCAGCAATCGCTGCCATCAAGCGTTGGGAAAAGGGTTCAGCGGAGCTATTTGATGGAGCATCCCGGCATGTAGGTGCGTCGCAAGCTTACCCTGAACTTAGTAATACTTCCTCCGGCTCAGGGCGGCGACGAGCAAGTCATCGATGACTTTTTCTGGGAAGGCCCCCCGGTGGCCTAACCCCAAACATTGATCAGCAATTCAGGAGCTATTCGGACGTTTGGGTGAAGGTTCTGCACCGTGGCAGCTCCACCGCCCCCCCCCCCCCCCCCCGTTACCTTGTGAGTGAAACCACTCTGAATCCAAGCCGTGCTCTGCACAAGCAGCCCTGCCGTAAAGCAGCCTTAGCAGACCCGTGTTGGCGTGAGTACAAGAGCCTCAGAGACCTGCCCGTGGACGTTGCCGAGAGTTGTACATGTACCTTGCCCCGCAAAGCACGCCAGGAGATGCCCTTGAGGAAGCCCCCATAGGCACAGGAGCCCCAAACCTCGAAGGCATCCTCCTGCGCAGCGAGAGCATCGATGCCTTCAGCGCCACAGAGCGGCTGCTCTCTGAGGAGCCTCTCCAGATGTTGCTACGAGTCTTGCAGTCTTACGGTGTCTTACCAGAGCATAGGCCTCGCGACTCGGGCTTCGGGGAGGAGGACGAGCGTTTCAAGACTGCGCTTTCAGGAAGCGGGATGTGATCCGAATTGTTGTAAGGAGGAGATCAGTAATCGCGGACGAGCTCCAAGTGCCATGAGTCAGTACAATTTCAGTACAGCGCGCATCCGTGCCTCAGAAGGTGTCAGAATCCTAGGGCTAGCGTGTACCAGCAAACACAATTGCAAGCAGCAATACGCCAGAAAGATATGGGTTCACCGGCCATTCAGAGAGGCCCCGCCGACCACCACCGAGAGGGACATGCTGCAGGCCGGGAAAACCCGCGGAATGGAAGTCCAGGGATGCTGTGGCTTTGAAAGCTTTGGACTGCTTTGGACTGCTTGTTTCTGTTATTTGGGTCATCTGTGATTGCCTAGCTGTGCGTGCTTTTCTTTGCTGCGGTTTGTCCATCAAGTTGGCTCCCATTATTTCTTTTCGTATGTACTGCAGGATGTAGTTGAATGTCTTGTGTTGGAAGCTTTCTCCTCGTAGGGAACTTCAGGATTCTGAATTCTGAGCTTCCGTTTGCAGGTTATCACAGATTGTGAGCCGCTGCCTGTGCTGACTCACTGCTACGAGTCTGTGCCTGAGCTTTCAGGGTTTGGGGTTCCTGGGGTACTGGAGAGGTGTTGGGTAGAGGGAATCGTGGTGTGAAATGTTCGCTCGAATCGCGAGAACGTGGCGCAGACGGGTAATGGATACCAGTCGAAGAGTACAAAACTGCGTAAGCCGCAACTTCTCCCTCTGCGAAGCGATTCTTCTCATACCCGAATGGATGGATTCCCGGAGTTTGGGCTGCTACTTGTGCTGGAACTGCAAGCAGGTGTGTGCCCGATGCTGGCGTGGCATTGCAGGCGATGACAGGCTTTCAGGAGACCTGGGGCAGGGGAGGCGCCACACTGAAGTTCAAGGCTATCGGGGGCCAAAGTCGCTAAATCGCTTCGCGAGCTGTTCGAAGCGAGCAACTTGGGTGTTGGGGGGGGGGGTTGTGCTAGCGGCTTCGCCTCCAGGCACTTGCCCGAAATCAAGCCTGAAGACAGTTGCACTCTGACGTTGCTCTACCACACACGGACAGCTGGGTTCTTCTTCGGCTTCATGGACTCATCACAAGCGGCTCAACCCATCCAAACCCCGCAACAAAACCCACTAAGTCACTAAGCCTGTCCTCAAACTTTGAAAGCCAACGGGGCCATTTTTAGTTCGTGAAGTTCCCAGAGCCCCAAAAGGCTCAACACAACCCAACAAAGCCCAACGCCTGTCCAGAGGACCTTGCGCGCATCGGTGCCTACTTCGACAATGTGGAGCTGGTCAGCAGCCTTGCCCACGGCTGAGTCGGCTAAGCTGTCGCGTCAGGCAGTTTCGAGAATTGTTGTTGAGGGGCTTGCTTTTAGGGGTATGTAGGGGTGTTTCGGAGCATTGGAGTGCAAGAGCTTCCTGGCTGGTTGGCATTTGAGACAGTGGCTTGCTTGCGCATGCCTTTACTGGTACACAGAGTCAAAGTGGACCCTTTTTTTGTTTTATTGTGTGTGTGTGGGTTCGGGACAGATTCTGCGTGGGCCCCAGGTCGCCCGAATTCGTCTCCAAGCCCCTCCCCTGAACACATTACTCGTCAGGTATGCAACCAGACTTCGCCGCTTTGCTCTCACCGATGAAGTTTTTAGGACCTCCAAGCCGCCGCGTCTCGAAGCTCCGACGCCCCATATATATCCAGATCCCCATAGTATAGGGCCCTTGCAGGTCAGGAGTATCTTCCAGAGCTGTGCCGCGGCTGCGGCTTTTTCAGGACCCCACGCGGGCCTTCGAACCCAAAGCTGACAACCCACCGCCTCACCCTTAAAATATCAAAGGGCTTGAGTTGAAAGCGTTCTTGGTGCGCGTCCAGCCTGAGTTGAAGAACTCTGGTGACAAGAGTGATCGGTACCGGTAGTGTTGGGGGGGAGGGGCCGGGGAGGGGGGTAAATTACAGTCAGGTTTCGGCCTCGCAGCCGTTCTGCTTTCCTTACATACTTGATCGGAAGCCACACGTGCTTGACCCCGCGTGCATCTGCATTCGCGGAGCTGTAAGACATGGGGTTGCAGATGCTGCAGAACAAATGCCAAGCCCGCAGGTGGGGTCGTCACAGTCCGCTGCCAGATCGCCCTGGGTGCCTCCGAAAAATGTGCCGGGACTGCTCAGCAATGGTTTCTGTACGCATGTTCAGCGTTCGGGACCGAGGTTTGGGATTTCAAGGTTTCAGATTGCGGCAGTGTAAGCATTCGCTTCTGTTGGCACGTCGGCTGAGAGGTTTTCACTGGGCCGTCACCCCAATTGTGGGTTTGCGGTCTGCGCGCAGGACCACAGGATTAGGTCAGTCGGGGGTTAATTTTAACGTTCCGCGACCCGCCAAAAACCTTCATGGTTTAGACCGTTCGGCTTGGACAGGACTCAGGGGGGGGCGGGGGGGTGGGGAAGGCAAGCAAAGGGAGAGGAAGGGGGGGGGCCTGCTGGGCGGGGCTTCAACTGCCCCTGGTCCTGGCAAACCGTCCGCTTTCAGATCGTGGTCGCCTACGGGGCATACCCATTCCAGGCAAAAACAGGGGGTCGATGTGTGGGGCCGAGGCCTCGGATTAAGGCAGTGGCTAATGAAGGCCGATGTTAGAGGTTGAGTGGGAAGCCTGCATGACCTGAATGCACTCAGACCTGTTCGTGAAGTCGTGAAGTTCATACATCCGGCACATGAACCCTAAACTCAGTTTCGTTGTGCACGCAAAATCGGCTCCTAATTGTGCTGCAGCTAAGCCAATCAATGGGCGCACAAGAGCCGGGAAGGCAACCCGGCAATCCGGGGCTCCCGATCGTCTGAAGAGTGGCCGCGTGGTATTGGCGCATCGGCTTGCCGGTACAGCACTGCTGAAGACCAAAACGCACGTACATTGCAGATGATCCTGAGCAGCCGAATTGTAATGTCTGACTGGAGGTCGGGCACTTTGCCTCGCTCTTTCGTGAGGCTCGGTGTGGATTTTCTATCTTGAGCGCATCCCATGCGTTTTGGCGACTGGGTAGCGAGTGTGGCATGGTGAAGAGTTTGAGGTTTAGAGAAGCTGCCGCAGGCGGAGTGGCGGGGCTCGCTCGACGTGTTGTTGCAGCTGCCGGCATCTCAGCCCTGTGGGGAGGATGGCGGAGCACTGCGAGCTTCCATCGTAGGATTTGCGAGTCGGAAGTCTAAGAGTGGACCCGCCTTTCTCGAACGGGATCGGATCTGTTTGTCTTGCCATGCCCCCCCCCCCCCCCCCCCCACCCGCCAGCGTAAGCAATGAAACCTAGTAACCCCAGCTCTACATCAGCCTAAGTCCCAAATCCTACTGAAATCCAGAAGCCACTGTCAATCAGGTGGGCTATGGATTTGTTGCCGGGGCCCTTGCAGCTCACAGCTGAAGAGCAGCACGGACGTAGGGATCCTTCTCCGAGCCACCAGATCCCGAAACCCTGAACTCCTCCACCGGCCCCAACTCCACCGCCCCCTCCTTTGGCGAGAGAGAGAGGCATCTTACTTGCGAGCTTCCTTGACTGCCGCGCAACAACCAACAATCCGGACAACATCGCCGAGGCCTCCGCACCTATCCGAGTTTGACGACTTCTCGGGGACCGACGGGAAGCCCCTTGAGAGCCTTTGCAACATCAGGCTTCCAGAAGGGAGCTGCCAACAACCTCAGCAAATGGGACTCCTGAATCCTTAGCCCCGAAAAAAGTATTGCAGCGACACGTGCTGACCCGCCCTCCCTCCTTACCACTTCAAGTCAGTGCTGTCACAAGATGCA